TTGAAATAGAATGTTTATCAGAGCTGTGTAGTTTGTGCCTTGTCCAGGGGTTTGTCTTATTGGTTTTGTCACCCATCTTCATTAACCCAGTTCGGCACAGAACAGTAGGACGTTTAAACCCCACTTCGTTTCATTTCATTTGTTTTCGTGTAGTGCTGTCCTCCTGTACTTACTAATAACGATTAAACCAAGTTTGTAATTGTAATTAAAAATATATAATTCGGATTGACCATCAAAGTATATCCTATTTCGTATGTAACGTTTATGTTTTCTATAGTGCAATACACTTTGATTAACACCCACAAAGACTTCTTTGATCTCTCTATTCCAGTCTTTCAAATGTTTGTTGAAGCATATCTTTGTTAACTTAGATCATTAAAAGGAAAAATAATGAAGTGCATTTCATTCTGCATTCAAAAATAAAACAAAAGCAGAATTTTATCTGATAAATCTCGGCCTGTCTTTGAGTTTTTGTCTGTTTTTCAATGATTTTTCGAGAGTAATTTTTCTAGTAAAAATATGGACAAAGGGTAAATAAAGGATGAAAGCGGTTTAACTAACCTAGCTAATAAAAATAATTTGTTTAAACAAGGAGGAAACTTATCAATATATGATCACAGCTCATATTGATTATTGGTTTTAAAACATTTCCCTGACACTATTCATTTACATTTTTTATTTTGCGTAGGCTGTTTGTAACGAAAATAAATGAATTTAACTAATGTAAATGTAAATGATTGGATGGCCGAATGGTTAGCACACGGGCGCTGTATTATATGGTCTGTCATTGAGTCAACTGGCGGGGTTACGATTTCAACCTCATGGGTTTTCTCCGGGTCCTCCGGTTTCCTCCCTCTGCTAAAGACCCCTACGCGCAAGCAAATTATTGAAATAAAGTTGAACCATGTGTTAGTCCCGAAATGACCTAGTGTGTGTCGAGTGGACGTTAAACCTCATTTCTCTCTCTCTATGTTCTGATATTTTAGAAGCTGGATTTTAAAATCTTGACAATTGATCATGGATTCTGGAGCATTTAATCACTGATTTTAGTATTGATCGCTTAGTTCTCGGTTCAGAGTGGTTCAATTTGACTGAAATTTACAGCAAATTTCCTTTTCATTATGTATGATAGTTTTTAACTAATATAGTGAGAACTGCCAGCTTTTTATCTAATCTCCCATAATGTATCTTTTAATGTCTACGTTTTAAAGCGGAAATTAAAGAAATGTATATCTGGTATTAATTATAATATAAAAGTGATATTATTAATTGAACATTGTGCGTTTATTGTCAATAATATTGATTAATAAGACTATAATATAGTTGAATTGGTCGTGTCAATGATATTGATGGTTTCTATAGAATGACGACAGTGGTTTTAATCAGTCGTAAATCAAATAGCGTGTCGGATATTGTTACTAGCGCCGTTAATATAACAAACGACAATTTTCTGTGGTGTAGGACAAAGGGCCTGGCAAGGACAGTGTTTAGTTTTTTGGATGGTGCAAAAAACAGAGGTCCTGTATACCATTACAACAATTTTCCAGTGCGGATTCCCCTTGTCAGTTGCACAGTGCAGGGCAGTGAACCGGGCAAGTAACATTGCCTAGTTGTTTGGATAGTATTAAAAAAACAAGGTCACCCGTACACCATTACAACAACTGTCTAGAAACCTGATATCACCTCTACAGAGAAAATAAGTCGAACAATGTGACTGATATATTATTAGAACCAGAAATATATCAGTCAATATACATTCTGTTATTGTTCAATATACAATCAATTATTGTTCAATATACTATATCCCATTATTGTTCAATATACAATCCCATTATTGTTCAATATACTATATCTCTCTTGTTCTATACATTACATATTATTATTATGTTACTAAATATTTGTTCTATACATTGTCATACATATTTGTATTCTATTGAATCTTCTATTCTATAATATATAACATTACATACATATTTCTATCCTATAATATATAACATTACATACATATTTCTATCCTATAATATATAACATTACATATTTCTCTCCTATAATATATAACATTACATATTTCTCTATGATATATAACATTACATATTTTTATTCTATTTAAATTAAATCTACATAGTTTTATTTTATTACTAACTCTCAACAGTTCCATACATTACATTTTTCTATTCTATTACTTGACATTGGACACAATCAATCATTAAAAATACAAATGAAATTAAATTTAACATCCCCTTTTTGTTCTTCTTCTTGGCTAATGAAAACAGCTCTAAAAATATACAGTAACCTATAGTTTCAGTGGTTTAATTTTAAAGAAAGAATGTTCTGGGTATTTTGGCTTTTTTCGTTTGCTGATTAGAATTACTGTATACAGGACTACAGAATTAGGAAAAAACTGACAAAAATACAATTGTTTCATTGCTAAATATGACAAAAATACAATTGTTTTATTGCTAAATATGATTTGATAGTTAAGAGTGTCTCCTATTTTCTCCGTGAGAATATTGAATATTTTATAGCAACAGATAAAATTATCTAAGTCTGTAATTCAGGAACGTGGAAGGCTACATTCCAAACCAGATAAAACAACTGTCCGTCACCCGTCAGTTCCCTTGTCAGGTGAAACTTTGTGATTGATTAATCCCAGCATTTATTCTAATCTCTGGAATTAAATACCTACCATCAAGATTAACTGATTGTTTATTTGTTGAACAGGAGATTTACATGTGACTGGAGTTGCGTCTTTAGAGACACTATCTAAACTTGCAAGCTGGACTGTGCTTGACAAGACAGACATGAACTTTCCTTTCCACATGGAAATAAATAATAAATGTTAGAGTACTGTACTATTCTGCACACAGATCTCCATCTACTTCATACTTTGAGAATAGATCTCTGTCCTAAATGGCTGCCATATCCAAATATTAGTATATTGTTTTCCACTGCGCTTCTACTCCGTTTCGCACCTGACACACACAGACTAAATAAACCTATTCAATTCCATTAAATGGAAACAGAATAAATACTTCTAAAAATTCTTGAAGTTTACTTAGTGGTTTTGACTAAAATCGTTGATTTAATACTTAAAATGTCGATCAAGTCGCTTAGTGTCTGTTCTCAAGCAGAGCTAACTGTAGACAGGCAGCCTAGGTTTAGTATGAGTACCTTACATGAGCACCTTCCATAAAATCTGTCTAGTACTACATAAAGTTTAGGAGAATTTCAAATGGCTAACTTATAGTAGAGATTAAAATGGTTGATTGATTTGGGGAACCTATTTATACATGTATTTAATTAGTCTGGGAGACTGGGAGACAAAAGTTGTAGATTTATTTTCGGAGAAATTTCTAGACGATTTCCTCCCTCTAGCTGACTAGTCAATTTTAGCACATAATCAGTGTTAATTAGTCTGAGAGAAAAGTTTTAAATTATTTTAGGGGAAAGGCTAGACTATTTCCTCATCTAGCACTGCCAACTATTCAGACGAACTGAAAGTTATACCTTAAGATAGATCTCCTGTGAACACGACAAAATATTGAACCCCATTACTGTTCTGTCTCATTATAGTTTGAAGGAAATGGCATTAACCTTGGATCAATATCGGGGCTCCATTAGATATGATGTTAATCTATATGTTGACAGACGTTCCCCTAATTAACACAATCTATCAGTTCCTACTCCGCAATCTCTTAAAGTCACCACATCTTCTATAAAATCCCTACATATATACCAGGGCTTCCACTTCAAAATTTTCCCAGTCGGTCACATGGAGAAAGGTGCTATTTTTAGCATATAGTATGAAGCCACAAGACAGCATACTATAAAAATGTACAATAATTAACATACTTTTTAAACTTATCAATATATTAACTCGTACAATATCGTGCTAGTATTTTCACTCGATAACATATAAAGATATTTGCACATATTTCATAATGTATATTATATACACTTCAAAATAAGAAATTATTGTGTTAATGGGTGTAATATCAATTTTTAAAATACAAATGTGACGTCACCCTTTGATGTTGGTGTACCATTATTTCAAATAATTGTACGGGATACTTGCTAATCGTACATTATTTATACTGACGCATTTCACTGTAAAAGCACTTGTCTGTATTTTAAGTCATTTAATGGTCTCGAGCTTAAGATATTGCGTAATATATTGTAAAACACTCGGGCTTACAGCCTTCTTTTTGTTACAATATATTACCTAATGTCTCGCTCTCAACCATTAAACAATACATATACATCTGCAATAAACTGTTTAAAGAGCCATTATTGCTTTCTTCTTATATAGGGATAAGTTATTTATTGCATCAAGACGATCATTAAGGAACAGCTATGCCTATACATATACATTTAAACAGAATCACAGACTAACAGAATCACAGACGTTTCGACAAGTATCCTCTTATCGTTACATCTACTACAAAGTAAACATAGATTATATATAAGTCATACATTTAAACAGAATCACAGATATCTATTACTATATTACACAGGATACAAAAAATAATACATTTAGACATTCAATCTAGTTTGACCGCTCATCACACATCTAATACACATTGGTGTTTTTACCAACCAGTGAAAACCACAAATCCCTTTCAAAGCCCTAATGTCCATTTCACTTACATTGATGAGCGTGTTCCTTTAATGGCTAGTGAAAACCACAGAAACCGTTTCAAAGCTCTAAAGTCTATTTCAGTACATTGATGAGTTCTCCTTTAATGGTTAATGAAAACCACAAATCCCTTTCAAATCCAAACATCCATTTCACTTAACTGATGAGAGTGTTTCTTTAATAATGGTTAGTGAAAACCACAAGAAACCCTTTCAAAGCCCAAACATCCTTCTGTTCCCCCATCACCAATATCGTCCTTTAAACTCAATTACTTAGTATAATATTGATGAGAGTGCTCCTTTAATGGTTGGTGATTAAGTATATCTTGTGATTTATCAGTATGTTTATATGTCTATATTTACAGAGACTGGACACGATCCTGTTGTTCATGGAGTTAAACTTGAAGACAGATTCTATAACAACGACTCTTTTAAGGTAGGAGGCTCTTTCTTAAATAGTCTAGAACAACCTGAAATAAGTAGATTTAAAACAATGAAAAAAGAAATATTATTTTATCTGAATAACTTTTTTTTTACATTTTAATTGGAAATAAAATTGCTTCACTTAAAGGATCGATGTGCGTCATTTGCGCTAAATATCAAATTTCTCACTGGTTAAATTTAACCTTTAATTAAGAAAACAAAATTAAATAAAAATGCTAAATAATCATCTGGCTTGGATTCAATTGGATTTAAACTAGGTCCATCAGGTTTCTCGGCTACCAATAAAATTTCAATTGATCATAACTTTGTAAATATTGAATGGAATTGAACCAATTTTAGACTGATATTTCTATTGAGATTAAACTTTCATAGCATTGTAGTTTGCAGGGGTTTGCTATAGCGCTAAATGCACATTCAGCCTTTAAATTTACAGGATGCTTCTCTTTTCTGTGGTGGGGTTGGATGGCTGAATGGTTGGCGCGTGCACGCTGTATCATAAGGTCTGTCATTGAGTCAACTGGCAGGGTTTCGATTCCCTGCTTGTACGTGACAAGGAGTAGGGTCGCCAATCCAACCTCGTGGGTTTTATCCGGGTCCTTCGGTTTCCTTCCACTGCTAAAGAACCCTACGCGCAAGCAAATTATTGAAATAAGATTGAACCATATGTTAGTCCCAAAATCACCTAGTTTGTGTCGAGTGGACGTTAAACCCCATTTCTCTCTTTCTTTTTTGTTTCCACTACCCATCAAAATTATGCTGTGTTTGCCATAACAGAACTGATATGGAAAATGTCATCTGATATACCATAAGAAATAGTTTATTCATGGTTGAAAATGTCAGGGAATGTATAAATGAAGATTGAAAGAAATTGTTAACTTCCAGAGAATTCGATTTCCTTTTGAAGTAAATTAGAAAGTTGTTTGCCATATCTGTTACAATGTCAGGCGTTTTTTGTGTAGTACTTGATCTTTTTGACATTGTGCCAGACAAAGGAAATAAACCAAATCTGAGCCTAACAAAATGACAGGAACCACCTATCTTTTGCAATTAAGATTAATTACTAAGGAAAGATTATTTAAAGAAATATTTCTTTCAACCTTTGAAATACTCTCTCTCTTTCTCAGTAATACAACCTCCACACTTAACTGTGTTTGTTCATAGGTCTAAGAAATAACCAGCATTTCCAAAGACATCACCACCCCCCCCCCTTCAACATTGTCACGTCGTATCCCCTGATTCCCTCAGTGTTTGCTTAAGAACCAGAGAGCCACAGTGGCAGCGTTGATAAGGCACTGACTAACTAACCAGGAGCTCCAAGGTTCTGTCCCTGTGTCATAGGTTCTGGACAGAGGGCAGGGCAAGGACAGCACCTAGTCATTGGAAGTGACCATAAGCCAAGGTCTTGTGTACAGATTGGGTGCGCTAAGATCATTAAAATGAAAATAAAGACAACTTGTCTGCGATATCATCTTCGGTGGAAGCAGACGTTAAAAACACTAAGAACATTATAAAACTCTTGACAATTATTGAAAAAAGACCCCTACGTCCAAGTGAATTATTGAAATAAAATTGAACCATGTGTTGGTCCCGAAATCAGTGGACGTTAAACCCCAGTAGGATGTGGTATATGGTGTATGTCTGTCTTCATTAGCCCAGTCGGTGCAGTAAAGTAAGGACGTTTAACCACATTGCATTTCATGATCTTCAGAACCCCACAGTTGATGCTGGTGATCCTCAACAACAGGATGCAGCTTTAAAAATACAAACAGAGGTTCGTAAACATCAGGCATCAAAGGAAGTTTTAACCATGGAGGAGGAACAGGCTGCTGTCAGGATACAAGCTGGTTTCCGTGGTTACCAAGACAGGCAGGAAATTTTACAGAAAACGTAAGTCTTGAAATACAAAATACTATATAGTACTTTTTTCAATGTCTCAAGGTTTCCATGGAGGTAGCCATGTTTTATTTGGGTGGGGTGGTGGATGGCCGAATGGTAAGCATGTGCATGCTTTATCATAAGGTCTGTCATCGAGTCAATTGCCGTGGTTTCGATTCCGCACGTTGTCTGTGACAAGTAGTAGGGTCGCCTGTAAAACCTCATGAGTTTTCTCCAACATCTCCGGTTTCCTCCCACTGCTAAAGACCATTACGTGCAAGTGAATTATTGAAATGAAATTGAACCATATGTTATTCCCGAAATGGCCTAGTTTGTGTCAAGTGGGCATTAAACCCCATTTCTCTCCCTCTCTCAACATAAATCAATCACAGATTTATACAGAATATGACATCCGTAATCATTTAGGATACAAAAATAGACAAACCTAAATTATGGAGTCAAATCTAGAGTCCCCACCAGGACTCTCAGTCTTACTTACCGGTATTGACTAACTAGCAACCATAAAACACAATAAAAACAGTTATATTTATGTGCAAAAAGGTTGAAAGATATATTTTACAAATTGGGATAATGTTATAATTTGGATAATGCTGTAAATGGGATAATGCTATAATTTGCCATATTGGAAAATGATTATCTGAAGTAAACTATGTTCATCAAAAATTGTCTGGCTGGCAAGATTTTGAAGTGAATCTTCCGATCCAGTTGCATGTCCAGAGCAGGGGGTCTGGACGCATCTAAATAAACAGAAGTCTTGTCTCAGAGCTTCTGATTTTCTAAAATTCTCAGGGAATCCTTCAGACCATATACCAAACTTTTCATCTTGGAAACATGACTTCTCAAATTCCCGAACATGCCTTTTATATTAGAGACTAGCAGATGACCCAGCACTGCATAGATTGTACCTCCAAAACTGGAAGTGTTCTATGTTACTCCACGGTCCGAGCTACCCCAACACCAAATTTCAGCCGCAGGACAGCCCTAGTGTAGCTGCCAACCCTGAACCGGTCCGAGCTACCCCTAATGCAAATTTCAGCCACAGGAAAACCCTAGTGTAGCTGCCAACCCAGAGCAAACAACAATCACAAATGTTAGTATAGATTAGATAGGTTTTTCTTATTTTACATGTAGGGAAATAACAAAGTTGCATAATTAAATTTATTTTTTGGTGACAGAAATCCCGAAGAATATGAAAGACGCCAGAAAGAAATTGAAGCTCGTCTTGCGGCTTCACAGAACACTGAAGAAGAGGAGGTAGATATTGACCTTAATGACCCGGAAGTTGAAAAGGCTGCCGTTAAAATACAAGCAGGGTTCAAGGGTTTCAAGGCCCGAAAAGAAGTTCAAGATACACAGTCTAAGGTATGTAGAAGACTAACAATTTCTGTACTTAACAAGGCCAAACCAGAAAAACTCATTTGAATAACACACTTTTGTTTGGATTTGGTCTCTAACTTTACCCAACCTAATGAATTAATGTCTTCCGAGATTCTGTTTGAGAATTGTAAAATAACATTTAAAAAAAGGTCACTTGAATAACACATTATAAGCAATTTGGTCTAAATTTACCTATACTAACAAATGGATCTCACCAGAGTTTCATTTTCAAAATTGTGATATAACTTTTTGCTGGTATGATCACATGGCAAAATGTAGAGTATCTGCTTTCTGTTGTTCTCTTGAATTTGAAGAGCTAGCTATGTTGTTATGTTTAATCCTTGTTGTCATGGTGATTCTAGTAGAGATTTGTCTAGATTTTATATTTCTTTGCTTTGTGGAAGACGAAAAAAGGCATTGAATTCTGGTATTTTTGTTCACTTTGTCGAAGCTGGCCATTTTTCGGTTTTATTCAGGGTAGGATGATAATAATCTTCTATTGGCTGATTTGTCCTTAAGCACTGAAATTGGGAATAAATTTTAGGAATTGGTTTTATAAATATTCTGTTCTGCGATCTGTTTGATCTTTGGGAAGCAATGTATGATCTTAGAAGAATTTTGAAGTTAATTCCATGGTTTATGGTCTAATGCGTTTGTCTGGACATTGTTTGCCCTTTAGATTTTTACATGTAACAATAAAAGATAATCATTATCCCTCATCAGTGAATAAAACATTGTATTGGCAAAACATTTGAACTATCCTCTTCATCTTCGGATCGGGAATGGTCTGGGGATCCCCCCACTCCTGGTGCAAGAAAATTTTTAAAAAAAATGACTCTTAATTGATGCGTTCTAGACTGCATCCTGATGTTTCTAGCTAATGTATACATTTTGCATGTGTCATTTTTACCATTCATTTCTAGACTAATTCCCCCCCCCCCCAAAAGGGCCCCCAAACCAAACTGTATAAGAACATTCATTTCCCTAGAGGCCCGCGAGCCTACCAGGCTCCTTAACAGTCCGTCCCTGCCTTGGCTTTTTCATTTTACTGAACATTTATTCATATTGATTAAACAGCATGATGCTGCTGAATCACTAGCACCTGAAGTAACACGTTCAGCACCTGAAGTAACACGTTCAGCACCTTCAGCACCTTCAGCACCAGAGGAAGAAGAAGAAATTGATATAGATCTTGAAGATCCTGAAGTTCAGGCAGCAACCATGAAAATACAAGCAAAATTTAAATCCATGAAAATGAAGAAATAATTAAAAATACTCTGAGTTTTGCAGTGTTATAATGTTAATTCAGTTGAAAACAATTTGATTTTAAAAAGGAATTCAATAAATTACAAGAGTATCTCATTTTGAAACTTGAATGTTTGGAAGATAAAATTGTTAATTTATATGCTAAATAATTGAATTTTGAAATTGGCCATATATATAAGTTTTCACATACTGTACCTGGGGCAAACTGGGCCCCAGACTGTCAATTGTGTTCTGAGGGATCTGGGGCTCCCTTGGCTCTCATTGATTGAAAAAATAAAATTCATCTTCGAATATATTAACCTAAGTTTGAGGAGAAAATAATCTATGTGTGCAGTGTTTCCTTTTCTCATCATGTCACATATTCATAACCATGATTTGGGTTTGAGGGAACCAATTGGACCATGGGCCCAGAGCTACCCAGTCCATCCCTGCTGTACAGTGTAATAACCACCAATTCAAATATAACCCAATCTAACAAGTACAGATATCTAAATCTAAAAGAATATTTTCTGCTTTTATGAATCTGAAATCTTTGTACAAATGTTTGGTTTTGGCCAATGAAAGACTGCAGTTCAAAAATCTAGACAAATATTTTGTGAATAAGGGCCCAGGCAGACTCATATTAATTGTCCAAAACAGGTGATGTAAGAGCTTATGCTAATTGCAAGTCCAAGAGGGGGTGGATGTTATTAAATAGAGCAGGACAGTTATTTCATTCAATACAGTAATTGATTTTCAAATTGGTAGGGATGTAGCTAATATGAGGAATATATATTCTTTAAATGCTAATTAGTAAGAATATATTCAACATCAATATGGAGATGTGGCCTATCAACCTAATTAATTTGTGTATTTAATGATAGAGGGAAGTTGAAAAAGTGCTCAAATATTTACCATTTACTCTATGTCTTATCTACATCCCTTGTTGCCCATTTTATTAGAAAATTTCTGAAATTAATGTCAAGATCATAATTTGCGATAAGAATATTACACACAACAACAAAATTGATTAAACAAATTATGAAATATGCATGTTAAAAATATGAATCATTTAAATTGATTGTTAAAGTTTCTTGTTAAATGTTGAGAACGCAATAACTTTGTTAATATTGTATGGTTGAATTTACACTGTTTGGAACTAATTAAATTTATATGGAAAATATAGAGCATGTTGTTGTGTTCAGTACAAGCTTGCATCTTATTCAATAAATATTTAAATAATTGGTAAACAAAATGATATTGTGAATAGGTCATTAGATTTAAACTTTTTGTTGTTAGAGGATAATTAGATTTATAATGAGACATAGAACTTGTTATTGTGTTTAATGTAAGCTTAACTCAAATTCAATAAAATATTTAAATTAAAAAACAAGTTTAAGGATGTTCTTCATTTTATGATAAATTGAATGGCAGACCATGGAACCTAGGCTGTGGTCGTTGTAGAAAAATATGATGAAATTGTTTTTGGTTGATTTGGTACTGTATATTGTGAGTAGGCTCCTGTGTTTACTCAACAGAACGACGGTTGTTGATGTTAAAACATACCGAGGTTTGTCTTGGTTGGTATTTTTAACTAGTTTTTAAGTTTGTCCGGGCATCTCAGCATGAAATGTTTAAAATTTTTGTTTGCATTAGTGTTTGAAGTTAAAACTGTTGGTGGGAAGTGTTTCAAGTTGAACGAGTTTCTGTTTTGATAATTTGGATTTCAAGTTGAAGATTTGTTTGTTATTGTTAAAAGGTTTTATTTTTATTATCAAATTGTTTTTATTTTACTGCTGTTTTTTGGTGTGGATTTTTTCATCAGTGATTAAATAATGCTATTACCAGGAGCAAATGTATTTATATTATAAATAATGTATTCAATTTGAAATTTTGTGCAAAAATTATCTGTTAGAATATTTGTTTATTAATGAAATACAGCAGTTTAAGATACTGGTATATGTAATGATATACTCATAGGAAAGACAAACACCATTAAAAAAAGACATTGATTTTACCCCAGTATGCGTTCATGCATAGTTTATCATTTACTGAAGATGAAACATTTATGTTCACAAAAGATACTGTAGGACTATTTGAATTATTGTTTGGAATACTACTTAAACATCAGTATATTACCCAGTTTCATATATTCCTATAAGTTTGAATCTGATCAGAGGCTGGCTTTTCTTAAAACATATGGTTAGTCCTGAATTGATTCTCTATGGCTTAAAAGTGCCTCTGATTAGATGATTCTATGTTTTCTAATACTACTAAAATTTGAGTTGGTTTTTTTTTTAATTTTTTTGTGTTTAAAACTACTAACCCAATTAACCTAACCAATTTGTTGTGTGCATTTTAATTTAACAGACTGAAGAAGAAATCGACATTGATTTGACTGATCCAGAAGTCAACAAAGCTGCCTTAAAAATACAAGCAGGATTCAAAGGACACAGGTCTCGCAAGGAATTAAACGTCTTAAAGGTTAGTATAGGAAATTAGAAACAAAACAGAGGAGAATGAAATTGAAAAATCAAAACAAAGGAAATAAAAAGCTGAAAATAAAGATTATGAAAGGATGATATATAGTTCAGTCAAAAAAATAAATCATGGACATCAGAATTCAATTTTGATTGTCTATGGTGCACTGTGTTAAGACAGTATTTATTGAGTGTTCATACTTGGGAGAAAAAGTAGACTGTGTTACAAGTCTTCATATCATAATGATGTTCGTTAATATAGATTTAATCTTTAAGATAATAACTAAAACAAATTAATACCCCAGAAAAATTTGTTTGTCCTCAAATAAAGTTTAAAAATTGTGATACTGTAGTCAAAGATCTGAAGAATAGTTTCATTTGTTGAATTCATAGGGTGGCAAAACAACAACAGAGGATGATGAATTAGCTGACATAGATCTCAATGATCCAGATCTTGATAAAGCTGCTCTCAAAATTCAAGCCAGTTTCCGTGGTTTTCAATCCCGTAAACAAAGGGTGTGTTGAATTGAAATTGTTTCCCTGTAGACAAACCTCTCTTTTGCTTTCCAACTGTTTAACAAAATTGTTATTGCCCAAATAAATTATGCATAACAATTAGTGTCACAGGCACATTAGGCAGGGTAGGCTTATACTCGTTTTAGAAAACCCGATACTTCTTAATTATTTGGGAAGTTCACATCGCTTACAATTTTCATACAATCTGATTAAAACACAGATCCTATTTCATTTCGTTTTTTTATAGTTCAAAATTTCGTTTGGCTTGTCTTGTCTTTACTACACCAGGATCTTGAAGAGTTGTTATATAACCCATTTTCTGCTTGATGCGAGGAATTAGCCAATGAAACGGTCTCTTATGGCATGTTCTTGGCGTGTTGTGCGCAGAACTGTGGGTATGGCACCAGAAACATCTCAATGCTGATTGGTTAATCAAATGTCTAATGTCATAGGACCAAAGCTCGCTTATTTGACTCCTGACACAGCCTTCCATTACAACCGGTCGGATCTTTATGTAGTAGAGGCCATTGAAAGTATAACAAAACGACACTAAACAAAATATAGATCTGTATTTTAATTAGAGTGAGTTTACGTATTGTAGATAAATTAGTCGGAGAAGGTAGAAATTATAAGTATGGTGAATAGTTGTAGATAAATTATAGTTAATGACAATAGATATGTGTCAGTAAAGAATGAGAGATGGGGTTTTCTCTGGGTTGTCCATTCTCCTCCCACTGCTCTACGCGCAACAGTTTATTGAAATTAGATTGAACTAACTGTTGGTGCTAAAATTAACTTGTTTGTGTCGAGTGGATGTTAAACCCCATTTTTTTCCCTCGTATCAATGGCTTTTAAAAATACTTAACTAGTATATATAATTCCCACCTAATAGATTTATACGTTCTGTATAGAATATAATTCCCACCTAAAGAATTACATGACATATAAATTGATTTATTAGTTGTGAATGATGTTTAAATTGAATTATTTTCTTTAGGTGACATATAAATCGATGTATTAGGTGTAAAATATTTTCAGTAAATGACATCTACATCCATCAAACTAGAATTTTGATAAACGTAGAAACAGAATAGAATGAATAGTTTTAATCAATGATATTGATTTTATTAGCAATCTTTTTTTCCACATCTTGACAAGTAGTTGTCACTACTACTATCAGCTAGACAAAAACATGGTTCTTACATCACGCTATCTACGTTACAAGATAATTCAATCCTGAGTGAGGTGTCAACCTTTTTCATATCAAGGAAAACTTTACTCTTGTACGTGACGTGGAATAGGTTTCCATGTCCAACCTCGTGGGTTTTCTAATCAACTCCTATTTGCAAACGAATAATTGAGATAAAATTGAACTATATATTACTAAACCCCATTTCTCTCTCTCTCTCTAACCGTTTCGAGACAATATCTAAGTTTTAACGGCTTAATTCACACTAATATTTATTCAAATTGATTATTGTTAATTAAAGAAAGCTAGTGTTAAAACCGCTTATTATCATATCTTTTTAAATATTGTTACGAAATTGAACCAGAGTCGGACTATTACCCCTTTTAGAGATCCAACGTTCACAATATTTAAGTTTTAGATTTAAAATCCCTCCAATTACAATATGAGACTTCAAATATAGTTTTTGTAGCAATGATTTAATTTTCTTAAACCAAATACGAGGTAATCAATTGAAAATATAAAAGATTATTGAACGAAATTGTTTAAAGAATTATGCAGCACAAATATTTGGGCTATCAATTAACATGTAACATGATAAAAGAAGATATCTTATAATCAAATAGATGTTCTGGATTTAACCATTAAAAGCTTTTAGATGTTGTATAAATAAAGCTTCCTTAAATTAGAATTATTCATTTTGTTAGAATTAGATTTAGGTGTAGATATTAGCATTTAGTAGAATTTATAGATTGATTTTGAGTAGGATCATTTTATGATATGTAGATAGTGCATGTTTTTTTTATTGCATGATGATCAATAGTGTTTTGTTTTAGATATTAGCTATTCATGGAGGTCCGGGGTTTGATCCAGATATTGGTTAGGAAAGTTCCCTGTGATTTTCCAGTGGATTCCCCTCGTCAGTTGTGGGGGCAGGAGGCCTGGCAAGGACAGGGTGGCACGAAAAACTGATGTCCCATGTACACCCTGGGATGCATGTAATTGATCCCTTGATAGTTGTAATTCGACAAAAGAGTAAACATTAACACGCTGGGCAGAATTTCCGTCATAGCACACTGTATGGCGTATGATACCTGTCTTCATTAGCCTAGTTTGAGCAAAGCAGTAGGACCTTAACCACAAAACCCCATTTCACTTCTATTAGCAATTCACATCTGAATATGGGGAATTCAACTTGATAACAGTAAAACAAACTTCTCTAAGAATGTATCACTATCAGAAAATAAATTGGTGTCCAGGAATTTAAAAATGAAAAATTTAATTGACGTAGAAGTTAAATTTAATGGCTATTTCGGTGGTTAATTTTCTCAAATATTTGAAGAGAGTGTTATTTCAATAGAATTAGTTTATAGTTAATCTCGTGCCATTTTCGATGCCAGTTACTGTCCAAGTATAATTGTATTTGGAAAGATGGATGATATTTGGGCGGTTGGATGGCCGAATGGTCGCCTGTCCAACCTCATGGGTTTTCTCTGGGTCCTCCCGTTTCCTTCCACTGCTAAAGACCCCTACGCGCAAGCAAATTATTGAAATAAAATTGAACCATATGTTAGTCCCGAAATGACCTACTTTGTGTCGAGTTTATGTTAAGCGCACAAGCAAATTATTGAAATGAAATTGAACCATACGTTAGCCCGAAATGACCTATACATCCACTCAACTCTCTCTCTGTGATGATGTTTGTGTCTGATAAAAGATGTCAGGGGAATATATTAAGTAAATTGTTTCTCTGCGTACCATATACATGTCAAATAAATATTGATATTTTTATATATTTGTCCTTGAGACATGAGAACCTGGTTTAAACTTGCTAGATAATTCCCTTGACACTACTACCTATCTTCATGTAGATAACTCAATAAATGGAAATGTCATAATAAAAAAAATTACTGAAAAAAAAAATGGGGAATCTGAAAGTTTCTAAATTCTTTTCTTTAAATGACATCTAGATGCACGGTTAATTATTCATAACAAAACACAACACAGGGTATATAATGATATAACAACTTCTCTATTCATAAAAAAACACAACACAGGGTATATATGGATATAACTACTTCATAACAAAACCCAACACAAGGTATATATGGATATAACTACTTCTATATTCATAACAAAACACAACACCAGGTATATATGGATATAACTACTTCTCTATTATTTAATAACGACGTTTCGTAACACATAATATTATGAGAAGTTAATGATAAATTTCCTTCGTTTGTTCGTTTCTAGAGTTTTACGTCCACTTCCACCTAGACAATATAAATATCCATCTAGTCAGCCTATTTATACATATTTTGGCTTACACCAAATTAATTAATAACCAGAAGAAACCATTAAAATAATTAAAAACAACCACAATGACAATAAATAAAACAAACAATAATAAATAATTAACCCTTAATAGAATGATAAAAGATAATTAGTACTAAAGTTCAAAGATTGACATTAATAGAGTTTCACAATATCACACCTCAATCAGACCAACAGTAACAGGGTGAGGTTTCACCTTATCACAACACAACAGGTAAATTAGAACTAGGCAGTAATAAAGATAATATAATATTTTGCAGATCGATAGAATCATCCCCTGCGACCCAACACCCCACCTTAATAGGGTTATACAAAGTAAATTATAAGAATTTGATACTATAACAGGCCACACTACTCTAAATTTATACTTGATTAAGACGTATATATATTTAATAGCCATTAATTAACCCTGGAGAACGAGGATATAAACAAGTAAAAAACCTAACCCTAATTTCTAAATTGTATGAGACATGCGGTGACTGGTGCCATGTTGCCATGCTTTCTACTCGTGTATAAGCTATAAAATGGAGTTCTTATTCATATTTCCTGTTGTAATTTTGAAAATGGAAGCGTTGATTTGGGCCTGGGGAAATCCTTGAAAAATGTCCCAAGTGGTCTAGATGAACAATCTATTATAACACAATTTTTATTTTTCTATTGACTTTAAGAGAAGCCTGTAGCGGATCCAATCACAAGTAGGATTTTGCTCAGCGAACTATACTTCTTGTAGAGTAATAAAATCAATTCTATTATATATAGAATAGAAAGTCAATATGTGGCAGAACTTAAAATAGCTTGGCATTCATGTTTGATGTGACTCCTATTTTTGTGTTATAGGTTTTAATCTTAAATACCTGACCCTAACTCTAACCCTAATAGAAAGTAGAAAGTTCCATGTGGACACAGTACGGACAGCTAACCACTAGTTTTCGGTGTAAAAGTGATGGGAATAGAAAAGGGAGTCGGATCAAACATGATCGCCAGTAGCTTTAGAAAAGTCTGTGTTCAGATGGTAACGCTTCGTTTCATGTATGGTTGCACTGCAGCAGGGATCACACTTCAAATTTTCTGCCAGTCGTTAAGATCAATTCCAAGGCACTAAGAATAGAAGTTAAAAGATACATTATGTAAGATTTAGATAAAGAGTTGACGTGGTTCTTGCTATGGTAGTTCTAAAATAGATAATGAAAAATGAATATTGAAAATTTAATTCAAATTACTTTATTCTGGGGGTGGGTGGGGTGGATGGCTGAATGGTTAGTGCGCGCGCGCTGTATCATAAAGTCTGTCATTGAGTCGACTGGCGTGGTTTCGAATCCCCGGTTGTACGTGGCAAGGATTAGGGTCGCCTGTCCAACCTCGTGGGTTTTCTCCGGGTCCTCCGGTTTCCTCCCACTGCTAAAGACCCCTACGCACAAGCAAATTATTGAAATAAAATTAAACCATATGTTAGTCCCAAAATGACCTAGTTTGTGTT